TCTGAAAAAGGGGAAGCATCCGGCAAGAATGTCACCCTGCCAGCGGTGTTCAAGGCTCCCATTCGCCCTGACGTCGTGAACTTCGTTCACACCAACCTGCGCAAGAACAACAGGCAGCCCTATGCTGTCAGCGAGCTCGCGGGTATGGTTTGTCCCCAGAATGGGTGGGAATGCTGTGGGAGCTGTTGGTTTTGATGCAGCTGGGCTGAAAAGGAAAGAAATTCAGAGTTGAAATAACAGAAGCACTGTTCAGTTAGATTTTGAAGAGAATGCTGGAGAACTATTCTGGTCGTTAAAATCCTGATTTTAAATTGTATGGAACTTTGCCTTAGCAGGCAAAAAACTTCAATGAAATGCTGTGTTTTTTAACCCCCTGCTCCATGTTGAGTACATGAGACTTTCATCTGTGGCATTTACTTAAACCTGCGCAAATGGCTGTTAGCTGGAGTTGCCTCAGAAGCTGGTAGATGCAAATATCTGCTGCTTCCAAAGGAATTTGTGTGAGTGCTTTCGAATTTATTTCTGATGGCAGTTCAGAAACATCTTAATCTGCCAGAAGCAGCAGTGCCAGTGCAGACCTTCATGTTAAAGATCAAGTTTAGAAATTGTTGTGTTACCATACTTGATTCTGACCTAAGCAGATTCTGTAAGAGCTGTTTTACCTGATCAGGATTTGTTTTGCTGGAATGATGAGATTCCACTTCAATGGTCCGTGTTTCTGAACCATATGATAACAGTGGAAGTTCTGATGCTTGGTCCCAGGCTCAACAAATCTGTGGCTTTGGGAAAACAGCGGTGTTGACAGTCTGTGCACTGAACTCTTTTTCTGTTGCAGGTCATCAGACCAGTGCTGAGTCTTGGGGTACTGGGAGAGCTGTTGCTCGTATTCCTCGAGTACGAGGTGGTGGAACTCACCGCTCTGGCCAGGGTGCCTTTGGAAATGTATCCTTTCCTAGCTGCTGCTCACATCAGTGTAAATCTCAAATCATGCAGGGCAAAATTATTCTTACTTATCTCAATATGAAATTGAATCCTACTTCTTGAGGTAATGGCTGTCCTCAAACCTCAGATCACTGTGAAAACTGTGATTAGAACACTCTCTGTGCAAATTCAGACTTGCTTTATTGAACAGGATGATTTCTTCTGTCTTTTTTCACTGCAGAAGTGTTGAGTCTCACGTCTTGCCATGATGTCGTAATTTGCGTCTTACTCTGTGCTCAGTGACGGTTGCCTGCTGTCAGTGAACTGGTACAGATGGTTGACGAGCAGTTAATGCTGAGCAAGTGTTCAGTACTTCGGCACATTGAAAAACACAGTTCTGAAAGGTTGTTCTTAACTGTGGATACTTAGATGTGCCGTGGAGGCCGCATGTTTGCCCCAACCAAGACTTGGCGCCGCTGGCACCGCAGAGTGAACGTCACTCAGAAACGTTATGCCATCTGTTCTGCCTTGGCAGCATCAGCTCTTCCAGCACTGGTCATGTCTAAAGGTGGGAATTCTGCTGGCAATCTTTGCGTGGCCCGAGCAGTAGTGGTTACTCTAAAATTACTTGAACTGTTTCTCGTGGATAATAAGTTCCCTTTCAAATTAAGGATGCGGTCCCTCCTTCAGAAGGTTGAGTATTTTTATGTACAACTGGGTGTGGTAATTTGGGGGTTTCACTGTGATGGAAGTTAGGCAATGCTGAGCTACCTCTGTGTGTGTTGCTGACATCAATCTTGTCCTAGCAGGTTATGGAAAATGAGGTTGAATTTTGAATTAAATGGCAGTTTGGTTTGATTTCTGTTCTGTTCTGTAGAAGCCACAGGTCATGCTTAATTTACTTGAGTATTGTTTGAGGCAGGCCAGTAAGACTGCACTGGAACTTCTCTGCTGTTACTAGGACACCTCCATGTTAGATTTCCTTTTTTTATTTTGCACTGTTTCAGAATGCACAAGGCAATGCCTTGAAATGCGTGCATATAACCAGGGTCATTGGGAAACTTAATGTCACATAAAACCCCCGTTAGGTCACCGCATCGAGGAGATCCCGGAGCTTCCTCTGGTTGTTGAGGACAAAGTTGAGAGTTACAAGAAGACAAAGGAAGCTGTTCTCCTTCTTAAGAAGCTTAAAGCTTGGAATGACATAAAAAAGGTGAGTTCTACAGGTATGTTCCTGAGGACGCTCATCATTTAGTTCTGCCATGGTTAAATTAAGAATTGCAGATTGCTCTGTATTGCTTTGATGCCATGAAAAATCCTTTGGTAATAGTTGTAGGAAAAAAAAGGTTGAAGTAAAGTCAGTTTCCTCCTGTGTTGCTTTACTCTTTGTGCTCGGTTCCCTTCATTTCAGTGCTGAGTAACAACACTAACAGCTCAGTCTATGTCTGTTCTGAGTCTTAAGAATGATGAACTTCTCACTGGTCCGTGTTTCAGATTATCAGTGATGATTGTGAAGTTCTGACTGAAGTGCCTTTGTCTTACTGCTGTAAGTTGGACTTCTTCAAATATTCACGGGTTTCTTTTCCTTTTCATAGGTCTATGCTTCTCAGCGCATGAGGGCTGGGAAGGGTAAGATGAGGAATCGCCGTCGCATCCAGCGCAGGGGGCCTTGCATCATCTACAACGAGGACAACGGCATCATTAGAGCTTTCCGGAATATCCCAGGTGATTTTAATTGGATCTTATTTACTCTTTTTTTTTCTCTTTTGGAAGGCAGCCTGGAATGATGAGATTCCACTTCATTGGTCCGTGTTTCTGAAACACATGATTTTGTGGAAGTTCTGACTTCTAGCTGAAGTAGCTGTAACTTTATTTCCAGGAATGTGATGTTGAGGGATGTTTGTGTGTCTGTTACCATCCATCAACTGCCTTTCAGACTGTAAAAATGAAGCTTTTAAGTTTGTTACTAGAGAAGGCTGACTTTTTTTTTTTTTTAACTTATCTGTTGAACACCTTATTACACACAGGTTTATGTAACTTTGTAGTGTAAAAGCTAATAAGACCGTAGCAGTTTCTGTGTACTTTATGGTCTATTTCTTGGTCCTGTGCTGCTTGCTTTTCATTATAACTGAAGAGGCGTGTCTATTTTTCGGCAGGAATTACTCTTCTTGATGTGAACAAGCTGAACCTGCTGAGACTTGCTCCTGGTGGCCACGTTGGGCGTTTCTGCATTTGGACTGAAAGCGCTTTCCGCAAGCTGGATGATCTGTACGGCACCTGGCGCAAGCCTGCCACTCTGAAGAGTGACTACAAGTAGGTGCAGTAACACCTGACCCAGCTGATGGGGGGCAGCAGGATAACCCAGCAGAGCCACAGGTTGTGCATTTGGGTGTGGAAAGTGGATACTGACAGTAGTTTGTACTACATGCTTATTTTTATTGAATTAGTTTTATATTTTTTTATTTTCCAACTTAAACTCTGAATGTTTGCTTCCCAGCCTGCCGATGCACAAGATGACCAACACTGACCTTGGAAGAATCCTGAGAAGCCAGGAGATCCAGAAGGCGCTGCGTGCTCCAAAGTAATAATTTTTAACTGTTAAGAGGTGATTGTGCTTGGTAGTTAATTATTGCCAAGTGCAACACTTCACACTGAGAACAGAAATCCCTGTGTCAGATACTGCTGGGATTTCTTTAGATCCTGTCTGTAAATACTAGGAATTATGATTCCCTTAAGTGAGATTTTAGGAAGGTTTTACAGCCTATGGGCTGTGGAAGGGAATCATGATCCATCTTTCTTCTTTCCAGGAAGAAGATTCACCGCAGAGTCCTGAAGAAGAACCCGCTGAAGAATCTGAGAGTCATGATAAAGCTGAACCCGTACGCCAAAACAATGCGACGCAACACCATTCTGCGCCATGCCCAGAACGTGAGGACAAAGCCTGTCGTGCAGTCTGAGGCATTGGAGCCGATTCCATAGATGCTAATGGTTGTGTTTTTTTTCTATCTGTTGTAGCACAAACTCAAGGAGGAGAAGAAAGCCAAAGCCAAGGCCAATGTCACATCCAAGGCCAAGCTGTCAGCTAAGGCGCAGACCAAGGCCAAGCCTGCAAGCAAGACTGCAGGAAAGGCTGCAGCAAAGGGCCCAGCCAAAGCTCCAGCAAAATCCCCAGCGAAGGCTCCGGCAAAATCCCCAGCAAAGGCCCCAGCGAAGGCCCCAGCAAAGGGCAAGGCTGAAGCATGAGCAGGGGCAGCACTTGGAACACCTGGGCTCAGAAAATTGTACCGTGGAACTACAGCGAATAAATTCTATTGGAAGAGTGAGGTGCTTTTGTAGTCGTCTGGCACAGCGGTGCGTGTTGGGGGTGAGGCGCGTGGCTCAAGTGAGCGGTGGGAGGCTGGTGGGGCTTTGAGGGCACTGTAAGCACACGTGGGTGAGAGCGGTGTGTTCATGGCACTGCCCGGGGAGGTGGAATCCAGCAGCAGTCGTGAGCCTTCGTGTGAAGTCACAGGCTGCTGTTTTAATGTCACGTATTTGGAGGGAGCTTTATTCACCTTGTTCACTTGTGCCTTCCTGCGGAGCCTGTTCAAAATGCTGTCCTAGGAGATGGGGCGGGGCAGGGTTCCATCGCCGCGGGGCGGAGCTCTCAGGCAGCGCCCTTTACGCGTAGCTTTAGCGGCCCTACGGCTGCCAGTCCGCCTGCGCGGAGGTGCTGCGTGCGGCTGGGGGAGGGCGGTTTTCCGTTAAGCTCTGCGGCGCGTTCGCAGCGGGAACTGCGACTGCAGCGGCAGCCGCGTCCGCGCTCGCAGCTGCGCGCTCTCCTTCCGCCGCGCGGGGGCGGCCACAGTGCTGCAAATGGCGGAGCCGTGACGTCACGCGGCGCTCTCGGGCCGCTCCGCGTCCTCCCGCCCACAGGGGGGCGCTGCCGCTCCGCGCTTCCCGCCCTCGGGGTCACGTGGGCGCGGCCGCCGCGATTCTCGGGAGCGAGGAGGAGGGGCGGCGGGCGCGGGGGGCCGGGTGGGGGCGGCGGGCGCGGGGGG